TGTTCATGATATTTTACTGACTTATCCATCATGTTATTTTTCTTGATATGAATGTAATATATGTTGCAATGTCAAAAACATTTTATGTTTTCTTTTTTAGAACACCATTTTGGTTCATTTATTTGGTAAATAATGGCAGCAGTTTGCTGAGTTGCATACTTTTTATTTGGAAAGTGTTAAATTAAAGGCACTAACTAATGAGCATGGAACATTGCATAAATAGCTGTATTCTTGCCAAGATTGAACCAAAAATTTAAGTAATTGTCTTCCTTAGATCTGCATGTCTTTCAAAGATTTGTTTTTTTGTTATATTTTGCACAACTAGAGAAATAATTGTTCTCTGCTTCATGCTTATACATGTATATGACAAAAGTCTTAAATTTAGAAATAAGATTCATATCTACAAATAATCAAGGTTGTCAATGCAGGGCAAAGCAATATATATAATTACTCAAAGATGAATTTTTGGGGACATTGGTAGTTTTAGTTTTTTGTATCGATCCGCTAAACACGATCAAAGACCAGGTGAAGAAATTGGTAAAAAACAACTGTTTACTGACCTCATTGCATATTGATAGCCTTTTACAGCCACAAAAGATTAAAATGGTTTGGTCGAACTTAATGATTTATTAGTGATCAATTATGATAAGAATTGGGTTAGTTGAGGCAATCCATCTAGATAATGAATTGTAAAATTTCAAAATCAATTATAATCAGTTGCAAATGAATTAATTTGAAGATATGGAACACACATTAAGGTGGTACCCAACACCTTGACTAATATTAAATTGGCTCGTTTAATTTTCATAAAATTTTGACAAAATGTTAACTTTGACCCTTTGACAAAAATATAAAAATTTCCAAAAATTTGAACCAACCACTTTATCAGAAAAATTTCATTGGTTATATAGCAGTTTGACAAACACTAATTTTGATCATTGAGAAGCTTAATATTTCCTTAACAATACAACGTAACTAACGTTTAGCTGATTTTTACAGAGTTATCTCCCTGTAGTGTTAGGTACCACCTTAAATGGTTACAGTATACCTGTAGAATCTCTGCAAATACCCTTAAAGTTGTTTTGTTGAATATTCAGTGAAATTTTATGCATAACATTTACATAATTGAAAATTGTTTGGTTTTGCTTAACAAATTACAACTGATCATCAGTTACAAGTTTTTACTAATTGAACACTAGTCTTAAATTTATATTGTTTAAATTTGTTAAAATAGGTCAGTGTAAAAAATGATTTCCCTACCCCCTTAATAAAAAAATGAAAGTATAACTTTAAACTTTACAATTTAAAATGCATAAATGGAAATAATTTACATTGAGAGTCATAGATTTTGTTTATTAAAGTTTAAGATTTGATATGTCTTTTATATTTAAATAGCTTTCAGAATCAATCTAATTGTAATTGGTCAATTTATAACCCAATTTAATTAAACACTTTACAGTGGATAACAAGTAAATGTCTGATTCTCGAACTTTCAGTTGTTCATAAGTTTCTTCCAGTTAACACAAAATATTAACTTTTTTCGAAAGATATTTTGTCTTTCATGGATTGATATACATTTTGTATAGATTTATACACTTTTTGTAGAGTAGTTTTTAAAATTTTTGTAGATAGTAGAAGAAAATTGTTTTTATTTTTTTTGGTGCTTTAGATAAAACTTTGATGTTGACTTGTAACTATTTTTAGATAAGAATGTTTATATGAACATGAATAGATGGAGGAAATCTCTGTAGCAGTTTATTGTCAGTCCAGCATGATGTAAAAAGAAATTGTGAAAGATGATTAATACTAAATATCTGATATTCAATACTAGTCTGGATGGGGTTTACAAAATATTGAATAATAAGCAGAAAGTGCAGAATAAAAGTAAAAAAAAAATAAAGAATAGAGAAAAATTAGCTCAAAAAAAAAGAAAAAAGAATAGAGAATGATGGAGTGTTGAAATATAAAGAATAGAGAATAATTTGGGGAAATAAATAAAGGAAAGAGAAAAAGGTATAAAAAAATTAAAGAATAAAGAAATGAAGGACCCCTCATCAAGACCCTCATACCAATATTAAGGTTTCTATAAATCTCGAAAGCAAGTAAATGGTTACATGTTTAAGTATATGAATCTTTGAAAAAAATGTATTTGGTCACATGATATTTTGACTCAAGGAGGATGCTGTAGTAATTTGGTTGTAAATGTATATACATGTAAAGGGTACATTATGGTTGTATGGACACAATTTATAAAATACTAGTTCATTATTTTATTGATAATTATGGTCTCTACTACTGAAGCATTGATAGATCTAATTGATAGAAATTGAAATTTTGCAGATATGTACATGCATATTTTGCAAATAGTAAATTTTTTGAAACTAATACTAGGAGGGTGTTTAATGACCTTGACTACCCTTGAGGGTGACGCACTGTTGTTTTTTTGAAACAATAATGCAACAAACTGGATTTATTATGCATCATTTGCTAGTGGCTTGTTAAATTTGCAATTTCTGTTAAGCACCTCTTTGATATTTATATTTGCATTGTTTTTGAAGCATTTACTCTATTTTCAGGACAGAATACATTTATTTGTTTTCTTTTCATTTACAATCTGTACTTCTAATTGAAATCAGTTAATCATGAATTAAATTATACCACAGTTTGATATGTGTTTGTATGTTTATTGCCTACAAATGACTGACGAACTTTACATTTTCTACCTTGAGTTATATAACTACTCATATAGGCAACCAGGAGATTTCATTAATGTTTTACCTTTGAATACAGTTCTAAAAGAGGGCTGTGAATATAATCATTTATTAAATTCATGTTTAAATTTTGTCTTTTAATGCCTTATGATGTATGTGGCAGAAACATACATATTTTCCTATGTCAATACATGCATCAAGTTGTGTTATAAACTTCTATTTCGTTAATAAAGTATATTTCCTAGAAACCAGGCCCCTGATCATTTCATGATTTTCTTTTACTTTTCTTGGGTCAAATTGACATTCATTTTAGGCATGAATGAATATGAAAACGTTTTCTTATTTGCCATAGCTGATAAAGAAATTTTAATATTACTTTTCGTATAATCACTATTATACATTTCTGTAGATGCAATAACCTGCATCACTTACTTGACCAACTTTTGATCAGTCCGTTTATTCAAAATCTTTGATGGTGTACCTGTGATTTTCACCACTACCAATTAAATTTGTCAAAAGTACCAGCTACTGACCAGAAGCAAATAGAGAGACAAGCCAGAAGACTGAGAAGTGTCAGTCCAGTAATATTAAAATTTATGGACTAGTGTAATAGTATTGACGCATAAACATAATAGTATAAGGAGATGTGGTATGATTGCTAATGAGACCAATATCCACCAGAGACCAAGTGACGTAGATATACAGCATAGCAAGAACCATGACACAACAAAATGTAAAACAATTCAAGCAAAAAAAAAAACAACAGCCTATATTGTAACAAACGACAATCACTGAATTGCAGGTTCCTGACTTGGGACTGGCACATACAGTATGTTGCAGGGTTAAACATTTGATGGCTCGCAACCCTCCTTATCTAGGACAGTGGTGCAACAGCACAACACAAAAATAAACTACAATTCTCGCCATAACTGGGACAGTGGTGAAACTGGAAAACATAACATGTATACATTTATAATAAGCTAAATTAACATCTTTTGCTGGACTAAAAAAGACCGAAGAGAACAGCCAAATTTCTAAGGCTAACACAATGGTTGATAAAAAACTATATTTTACCAGTTCATTTTATTAAATAAATCAATGTCATATCCTTTCAAGATATAGAATGATACTAAGATGAACTAATTATCTTTAGTGTGTTTTTACTATCCTTTATATCAAGTAGCCTCTGAACATATGTGGACTATACTTTTAAAAGGAGTCTTGAGTGTTCATGTTGTAAGTCATACACTTATCATCAAACACATTTACTGGCATTTAGATTGTATCTGCCGCAGATCAATGTGATTCCAACTCTTACATTCTTAACATGACCTTTGCTAGCATCTACTTTTCATTCACTGCTAGAGTTTTGTTTTACACCCAAAGTTTTCCAGAGATTGATATCTGAAATTGAGTGAATTTGCTTGGAATATATGAAAAAATTATAAATAGAACACTTTACAGATGTAGTATTTCCTCCTGAAAATATCAACAAAAAAGAGGACGAAAAACCAATATGGGAATAAAAACAGACAACACCATGTAAAAAAAAAGAAACCGCGAATAGACAAAAAAGAAAAGTTTCCAACATACTAGACAAAACTAAATTTAGCAACACGAACTCCACAAAAAAACTAGGAGTTAACTTATGTGCTCTGGAAGGGTAAGCAATGTCTGCTCCACATGTGACACCAGTCGCGTAGGTCATCGTAAGTAACAATTAGGCGAAACTCCACATTCAGTCTATATAATAGAGGAAAAGAGGTAGGGTTTGTGGCTACGACAGGCATGAACGAATTCATGGTCATTTGTCACGCAAACAATCCATAGCGATCAACCAAAATTTTGATTTGGTCCGTAAAACTTTTGAAGGGATGACATCAATATTTTTGATTTCAATGTTAGGTTGACACTTACTTTCATGTTTTTTCATAAAATTTTCCTCCTTTCGTGTTCAATGAAACATTTGATGTATCCGACTTCCTGATCATTAGATGCTCGCTTAAAATTGATAAGTTCAGATATCATCTATTTATCTATTTCCTGTTTCGTTTTAGAATTATCCCATTATTTAACATACAAAATGTGTAACACCCCCTCGTAAAATACACACGCACAATACCCAGAAATAAGAATGAGAATTTATGCATACCTATGCTTTTTGTGCGGGGCTCATAATTTGATAAAATCAAAAATAAATTGTGTGTTTAAGTTTATCACAACTGACAATTGACATTGGCATTAAAAGATTAGAAATTCTATATCAATACATATTTTATTTTGTGTCTTTACAAATAGAAAAAAATATCATAATATCATAATATGGATAAAGTTAGAATAACATTGAACGATTTTCTGACCTTCCATGATGTCCACATTATGTGTAGTTTTTTACGCGAACACATTCATTGCATCCGTTTCTGTTTTTACAATCCTCATTGAAGTTGCATTGATTCCTTGAAAAACACCTGTCAACACAGCCTTTTGGGTGAATCGCATCAATTGAACCGACAGGCAAAATACGGTCTACTGAACCGCTTGGAATAATACGACGTACTGAACCCCCGGGAATAATACGATCAATTGAATCTCCTCGAATAATACGGTCTACTGAACCGCCTGGAATAATATCATGTACTGAACCGCCTGGAATAATACGATCTACTGAGCCTCTTCGAATAATACTATCTACTCCACCGCCTGAGATAATACGATCTACTGAACCGCCTGGCAGAATGTGGTCTAATGGTGAATTGTCAACCATTCTCTGGCAAAATCTTCTACAGTCTTGTCTACCTTGCAATCTACAACTTCTTAAGCATCCTGATGAGAGTGTATTACCAGGAATTATTGTATCTATTGGTACACGGTCAACTGGTGAAAGGGCTTCGACACGTCTGCAAATGCTATTACATCCTACAGTTTTACAGTAGTATCCTGGTTCACAATTCCTGTCAGAAAAGCATTGTTGATCACATTTTTTCTTCATTGGATATACTGTAATATAAATAATTGAAAATATTTAGAATGTTGAAATGATTTTTGGAACGTAAAATGCCGAAATTTAAGAGAGACGTCTTTTTCTTCACTAGTCTCATGTGTTTGTGTTTCTTTAAAGTTCATCGATATTATGAACTGAATTTGTCTTACTAGTTACATATTGATTATGAAAAAGGTCTTGTCCATTCCTTTTAACTCTTGTGTTCAAACACCTAACAACGAATCATGCAGTTTATATGAGTTATTTACTACTTCTCCTTGTCTCATTGACATTTTGTGAGGTAACACCATTTTCAATCTCTATTTGCAATCCTTCTACATGTATTTGTAAAATATAAATATTTTAATTTGCTGTCTAACGAAGAAGTAAAATCTTCGTTATTTTACCTCTATCGCGAAAAGATGTGTTTTGCTGTAATTTCCTCTGCCCTTTTCGAAATGTATTTTACCCGATGTCGTTATATTTATTTTATTGTTTGGTTTCACATCTGATCATACTTGATAAAACTGTACAGTAAGTTATAAATGAGATAATTTTCGACTTGTTAAGAGTTTTTAAGTTAATATACATTAGTACAAATGTGGACTACTAAGCGAATCATTATTACTATTATTTGTTTTATATAAATTACAAACCTGCAAAAACACAGGAAACAAATCCAAGAAAAACCAATACAGCTTTTCCCTCCATTCTGAAAAAATACAAAAATAATGAGGATTAATCAAAAACACAAACACGACAAACCGATATTTTCTAATTTTAATCGAAGAAATATCGTAGAAAATATGAAAGTATTTCGGGGAAAACTTTTAATCCAACATAATGTGTATATCGTATTAAGTTCTTTCGTAACGATGAAAATAAAGAAAAAACAAAAATTCATTCCAAATCAACATGCATCGATACGCTACTACTTGTTAAATTACTAGTAACAAAAAACCCATTCTTATCATATTGAAATGCATGCAATATTTTAATGACTATATTTGTGATAAAAAAAATTACGGTAAGGGGTATAAACTTTACCAAGTAGCACTTCAAGTTGTAGATTTCAAATAAAGCATATTTTTAGAACAATTTTCGCCATTTTAATTCCTAATTAGTGATGACAAATACAAAATGCAAGAACCTGAGCATCTTATCAATAAGTACTGAAAGGAATTGTATAATTTCTCCACATGTGAAGAGTACTTACCTAAACGTATTTAATATCTGTGCTGAGTGGAGTAATGTACTGTGTCTTTTATCCACGGCTGTCTTATATATATAGTTTAAATAAGGAAATGAACGGCTCAATGCATTTATGACGTCGGCTATGTATATGTAATATTTTTATATTTGTACATTAATCAAGTTCAAAATGTCAAATTTATTTTTAAATGCAATTTTGACAGATCATTTAATTCATTGTTTTTAACCACAAATAAAAAAATCTATCTTCTTGCTCAGAAAAAAGACATTGCTTAAAATTTTGATCGTGTTGTTTTCAATTCGAAAATGAGAAGATTAAATACGGTTATCTTAATAATAAAGTTTGTTTTATTAAAATATTGAGTACAGGAGTCGTGGGTTCGATTCCTGGTGGTGTTAAACTAAAGACCTTAAAATTTGCAGTTGCATCTTATTCGCTTACGTTGATTCATTATAGGAATAGGAAAAAAAAAAGACTGGTCCATTTGGAGCCAATTAAATGAGACCGATAGAAATGATATGTTTTACCCTTGGAGTAAGTCCTGTAAAAGCCTGGAATCATATTCATAGCAAATTTGAACATTTTCTCATACCAAATACTCAAAATACTTTTGGGAGATAACACCCACTTAGCGTTCAACATTCATCCATAAAAGAATTATTATCATCCGAATAAGGACAACACATCGAATGTCCTTGTAGGGTAAGTGCCAGTCTTTTCCCAATTGTTCCAAAATATGGAGTTCCTATTTTCATTTTGAGAGGTTATTTGCATAGGAAGAAGGATTCTAGTTGATGTAAAAAAAAACTTATTAAAGATACCAGTCTTATAAGCAAAGAAACAATGCTGTAATGGGTCTTGTTTTCTCAATCTTAAAAAAAAAAATCAAAATTGTATGAAAAGTGTTTATTTGTAGGAATGTCTAGGAATTTTCTATATAATGAAATGCCTGTACCAAGTCAGGAATATGACAGTTGTTTTCCATTCGTTTGATGTATTTGAGCTGTTGATTTTGCCATTTTTATAAGGGACTTTCCGTTTTGAATTTTCCTTGGAGTTTGGTATATTTGTTATTTTACTTTTTTCAATCATTCCATCTTCCCTAAAAAGGGCACAATTCTTAAACAAACTTACTTCCCTTACCCCCTTACCGTCAAGTCACGAATTGCTTCATCTACCAAACTGTGACTTTGAAAGATGCTTTAAATGTAATTATAAAAAAGAGATAGAAAATAACAATTAAACAAATCGTTAAAAACATACAAAACTATGACCAAAATGACAATCGACGAAAAGAGTCTACAAAACTCTACAAGAAATAAGAAATTGGAACACAGTCTTTGAAATTTTTTTTTCATAGAATATTCGAATTTATTATGAGTTTTGCATCAATGCTAACAAAGTCAAAAAGAAAAAAATAAGAAAAAAAACCTGCCTACTGCCTACTACAATAGGCAAGTAAGAAAGATGCCTATTTCGATTCTAAACTTGTTTGTGGGGTTTTTAAATTTTTTTTGCTAGGGGCCGTCTTAAACTTGCAGTTAGGTGAGAGTTGTTTTTTACTCCGTGTTAAAGGCCTCATTATGACTTTGCGATGAAGAACAGGAATGAAACTGCTGTTCCTTTGCTCTTTGTGTGTGTGTGTGTTTATTTTTGTTGTATTTTTTATGTCATGGATGGATACCCAATATCCTTTGTTTTTCTATTTGATCGACATAAAGATTTTTACATATCGTATATTGTTTCAGATAATGTATGCATTTTATATTTCACAGATATTCATATCAACACCCTTTTGAAATTATATGATACTGATTTTGCATACACAAATTTGTGAATATTTAGATAGCGCGTTAGATCTTTTTTAGCCATGGCGTTGTCAGTTTATTTTCAACTTATGAGTTTGAATGTCCCTTTGGTATCTTTCGCCTCTCTTTTACAACCTTAAACATTTTGTTTTATATAAAAACTTATTTTTTTTCAATTGATTTCGGTCTCGTTAACGGAATAGATAAATTTAAAATTTTACAGAACATATGTATTTTAATAATAATCAAATTCTAATTCGTTCTAGAGTGAACGACGCTTTAAAAAAGAAAGGAAAGACACCATGGCCGCATTGTTTATTGTTTTCTTATATACCAATTAACAACAGTTTATTGATATGGAATTCAGAAAATAAAGTTTATCCGATTTACACATCAAGGTCGTTTTTATCATATTATTAACACTACAAATCAGTAAAAGTCTGAAATGGCCTACACCTGTACTCGACTGTACTGATTTTAATCGACCAGTCTGAATTGGTCTGAATTTTACGTAATATTACTCGACCCAGTCTTAACCATACTCGACTGAACTAATTTGTACTTGACCTTTATCTTTGCTATTGGAAATAGTCTGAACTATTACTCGACCGGTGTGAAACAGTCTTAACCCGTTCTCGACCTGTACTCGACCAATATTTGACTAGCTCTCGACCTATTTTTTCAGTCTGAACCATACTCGACCAAAGGTCTGAACAGTACTCGACCAGTCTGAACCATACTCGACCAAATAACCTCTACTTTTTATAATTTTGATCGTTAAAATAATTTTCTTTTTAACTGATATGACAACAGCTACAATAAAATAAAGATATATGTATATATATATATATAACAGATTTTTAAATCCTTTCATGATTCTCAGATTTATCAAATCGAGATACAAAAATGTAGTTGAATAATCTAATTTTAAAGTCTGAGTCTTGTTAAATAAAAAGACTCTTTTTTTATCTGAAAATCACACCTATACTGAGGGTAATAAAACCTTATTAAGGTGCTTTTTGTTTGGCATGTGTTTTTTTTAAACAAAACTTGATTTTCCTAAATACCTAAATAAAAACTACATAGGTTTCATGGTTACATACAATAGTTATAACTATCTATTTAATGAGGTAACAACAGCCAACAAAATCACTGACAATGTTTAACTTTATATCAGAAATATATCTATTCTCATTATAATTTGGGATATATATATATATTTTAAAAATGGATAAAAAATTAAAGAAATGAATAAATGTTTTCTTCTGATTAGCTGATTAGGGTTAAACTATAAAGTAATACACCCGGCTTGGGTCACATTGATTAAAAAGATCACACCTGGTCAGAGAGTAATAAATTTTAAACAACATCCTTTGAAAATTACAACATCCTGTAAAACTGAAATCACAAGGCCTTTTGAATTCACTAGATAAGTAATACACGAGTTTAAGAAAAATAGGGGTTTCTTTTTACCTGTAAAACTCACCTGTACTAAGGTAATTAAACCTGATTTAAATGCTTCTTGTATGCCAAGTCTTTAATTTTGACAAAATGTATTTAAATTTAATTAATTTAAATTTCTACTGCAACTTTGGAATACATTTCCTTTTTTAATAGGTTATCAAGGATTGCTATGAAAGTTTTATCATTTTTATTATATTAAATTCTTGGTTTTACAAAACAAAGGAGTCAATGTTAACATTTATTAAGTTGCTTTATATACTATTTTATATATATTTTGATAAAAAAAATTGAATAACATTTAAGATATTTGAATAATGGTATCAGTATTTTTTATGTACATAAAGCAATGTGAACATATCATGTATATAAAAATTCATTTAATGAAAACTTAATTTATTACATGATATTTTTTTTAATCCAACCAGAAGTTACTTCCTTTGATCATCTTGTTTTATTTTTATTTTAAATGTGATATACATTAAAAAGGTAAACGGACAGAAAGTCACAGGACAAAAAGTCACAGGACATAAAGTCACAAATTTGATAGGACAAAAAGTCACAGGACAAAAAGTCACAAATAATTTGTTGACAATTGTTTGAATATATAAGAGAAAGATCCTGAAATATTTTCTTTTTATTACATATATTCAATTGAAGTTTAGGAAATTGTTCATAAGCCTTGATAAATGAAAAATTTATTAAATTTTAATCATGCAAAGAATATATTTCTTGGCACAATGAAGCCATTTAAGTACCAAGCCACTTTGACATTTTTTTCATAACAAGTATTTGATCATTATTGATATTTATTGAATGAATGTTAATTACAAAGTTGCTTCGTATATAATAGTTCAAGAAAAAACAAAAACAAAAATTTTTTAAAATTAATGTTTTCTTGTTTAAAGAAAAATAATCTCAAAACTGAATTGTGACTTTTTGTCCTGTGACTTTTTGTCCGTGACTTTTTGTCTGTGACTTTTTGTCCTGTGACTTTCTGTCCTACATTCGTATTTATATGTATGTATAACAGTTCCTAAATTGATAAAATACAATAGATAGATACTAAAACAGGTCTAGGTTGGTTAAGACTTGGTCGAGTATGGTTCAGACTAGGTCTAGTATGGTTCAGACTAGGTCGAGCATGGTTCAGACTTGGTCGAGAATTTAATAAATTTAAATTTCTACTGCAACTTTAAAAATCAGTACAGTCGAGTACAGATATAGGCCATTTCAGACTTTTACTGGTTTGTAGTGTAGTGTTATAACTAAAAACACTTGGACAATATTCACGAGCAATGAAAAGGGTCAGATTTGATAATAATTCATGAACGCACATTAGAATTGTGTCTACGACATATCAGCAACAGTCTGTGATACAGATATTTTGTAATATCAATATTGTAATGATGGAATTGTAAACACGTGCAAGTATTGCCTTTCTTGTAACATATTTTACGTAGTTCTAACATTCGTACCACTAATGGTTTCTAAAACGACATCAACGCATTCATGATAAATGGAATGGTAAGAAGTTTAGAAAAACGCACGTTAGGTTAATAAAATAACACTTAAGGCGAACAATTAAATATTGCTAGTAATAATGTTTTGACATTGAAGCATCATTTGTTACATCAACAATAAAAAAAACCCAAAGAATTCGTACAAATACAAGTAGTAAAACTCGTTTATTTTTAATTTCCATTCTTTTGATGCTATGTATATTTGCCATAATAATAATAATAATAATCACCGATAATAATTATAATAATAATA